CTATGATGGAGATGATAAAATGCTAAGGAGAAAAGAGGTAATATAAAACACAGAATCATGTTGGTCTCACCTATTTAATACTAAATTTACTACTTCCCCGTTCCTGGTTTTGCGCAACTTCGTTGCGCAGCTACTTATTATATAACCTATATTTATTGTGCATGTCTTATGTGCGCACCTGAACTTTTTCATATATATTATTAATCATTTTCAAATTACTCGATACACAAATTTTGAACACTTCATATATACTTGATACACAAATTTTGAACACTTTATATGTACGCAGTATTCAAATTTCAATTACATTGTATATGAAAATACAGTAAGCAAATTTTAGTCTAATTTAAGCAAATTTGAACAGTTACATAAAAGTTAAATAAATCTATGAAAGTTTTAAATTGATGTTCAAATTGTAAGTCTGTGGTGAAGTACTTGCAGGAAGTTTAATAATAATGTTATTACTGATGTCAGAGAGACTTCTTTTATTCTTGTGATATGAATCGAAAAGTGGAGAATTAGGGTTAATGGGTGGTTTGAAGGGGCTATTACCGATGTATTTTTGTCACAGAATTTTGGCTTAGAGATTCGTGATTTCAAATAATTCGCTATTAAAATATGTAAAAACTTTAATTAAAAAAAAAATTTCTTTTAAATTGTCTTAACCAGGCAAATGCATAATTAATAATGCATACCTTCTTGATAATTTTTAACTACTTTTGTGTCCTCTTCAGCTAATTTTGGGTCTTTAGATACTTTCAGGTTCGCTTCAATTACTTTCGAGACCTCCGTTACTTCTGGAATTACGGTTAAAACTTTCAAATATTAAAAAAAATTCAATTAGAATAAGATCATCTAAGCAAAGAAAATTTATAATATACCTTCCTGATACTTTTCAATAACGATTGGGCCTTCAAAATACGAATTTAGAAAAAAAAAATCTAATCAAAATCAAATTTTTAAATTGCGCAGTAATAGTACATACTTTCTTGATAATCCTTAATTTTAGTTAAACCTTTAAGTGTAAATGTATAAAAAAAAAAAAACTAATTAAAATAAAGTTTTTGAACAAGTAAATGAATAATTTAAATGTATATACCTTCCTGATGTTTCTCGATTACAGTTGAGCCTTGTTAAAATATATATAATAAAAAAAAAATTTTAGTAAGAATAAAATTTTTTAAATTGTTTAAACTAGCAGAAATAGAATTAATACATACCTTCATAATCATCACACTCATCTAAATTTGATTCATATAACGAAAAAGGAATCAGCATTGCAGTATTATTAATTCGCTGATCTTCACCAAGCTGACAGTAATCAGCTAAGCTTTCACAAGAAAGATAGCCAGAAAAAGCCTGAAGGTCAGATTCAGAAAGCCCATTATTTCTTAGAAGTTGAATTGCTGTACGGCAACAAGAATAATTTGTAATATGCCATCCTTTGCTAAGATTAATCTCAGTGTTTTCAACAATATCGTGAATTATTTTTTTGAGTTTTGAATTTTCCATAGGGCTGGTTTTGTACCAGTTACCTTTCTGTTAATCTTTCTTGCTTTTACAAGTTTCATAAAATAACGGATCTTGTAATACATCTAAATCGAGCAACTTGGACAAATACAATATAATATCTTTTTTTTTTTTTTTAATGTTAAAGGTGACCACTTAGGCCATTGGCATGAGCTTTATTTCGGATAGTTACGATATTA